GGCGTGGAATTTTTTATCAGCTATAACTTCGGAACCATAAGTCAAACGAACTTGAAATTTGGTATGCAGACTGTAGTAGATTCCAAAGATTTCTTTTTAATATTTTAATTAAAAGTTAACAAAACTTAATTTATTTTTATATTGTTAGCAATTCGAGAAAAGTTTGAATAATAAAAATTTTCTATTTGATTGACGAACTACAAAAAACACATAAATCTAAAATTTCCAAAATTACAAAGTTGAAATGAACACAGTACAATAAAAGGTAATAACACAAATACAAACCCTACAATACTCCCCCTTCTAGAGAATTAATGTTATATAAATTAAAAGTAACTCGTTTCTTATTTGATGTTGTGTTATTCATTGTATTAGAGTTTGTTTCTGGTATTAGTTCTGTTTCAATGATTGCTGGTTTTAGTCTGTCTATCAGAATTGTTTTAACCTCATTATCTACTTCAAGTTTGAAATATTTTTTGTTTTTTTCAACAACCTTATAAGGTCCTTCGTATGGTTGTTGCAATTATCTTTTATTAATAACACGCATAAAAACAAATTTACAAGTCTCCAAATCCTTTGGTATATATACACCAGTATCAGAATTTTGATTATGCCTTAAATTTGATTTAACATTTTTAAAATGTTCCCGTAAATTACCTAAAACTTCAATTGGGGAAAATTTTTCTTCAGATGGAACAACAAGTTCACCGGGTAGGCGTAAATTTTGCCCAAAAACCATCTCAGATGATGTGGCTGAAATACTTTCTTTATACATCGATCGTAAACCAAGAAGTATTATCGGCAGCTCATCATACCAATTGTTGATTCCATTTCTAGCCATTATCGTAGCTTTTAACTGCCTGTGAAACCGTTCTACCATACCATTCCCTTGAGGATGATATGCAGAAGTTGTAACGTGATGACTACCAAGCAATTTTGTTAGTTCCGAAAACAATTTTGACATAAACTGAGTACCCTGATCTGTAGTGAATTTTAACGGTACCCCAAAACGTGAAACATATTCTCTAAAAAATTTATTTGCAACCACTGCCGCTGAAATGTCCTTTAATGCATATGCCTCGGGCCAACGCGTGAACCTGTCAACTATTGTAAAAATGTAACGATGTCCTTTCGATACAGGAAGAGGTCCAACAATATCTAAATGAATATGATCAAATCTACTTTTGGGAATCGGAATTTTAATTACTGGAGATTTAGTGTGACGATTAACCTTCGATTTTTGACAATTTATACATTCTTTTGACCAAATATTAATTTCTTTGTGCATTTTTGGCCAATAGTACTTTTTAATAATTAGACGACGTGTAGCTTTTGTACCAGGATGTGTAATGCCATCTAACATATTAAACACTGTCTTGCGTAAACAATTTGGAACAAATGGCCTAGGATTCTCACCTGTCATTTCACACCAAATATTAAAATTTAAAAGTGGAATTTGAATTAATTTAAGGTTATGTGATGTATCTCCAGATTTTAATGTGTTAAGTTCCTCATCCTGTTCTTGTTCATTTTGTAAAACTTTGAAATTCAGTTCTGTACCCTTAATTGCATCAACTTCGAAAGCTCGAGATAATGTGTCAGCTGTAATGTTCTCCTGTCCTTTAATATATCGTATGTCATTAGTAAATTGTGCAATGAATTCCATATGTCTAGTTTGTCTCGGACTACGTTCGGTTTTTGAACTCAAAGCATATATCAAAGGCTTGTGATCCGTAAAAACTGTAAATTGTCGTCCTTCTAAAAGATAGCGAAAATGTTTAATGTTCAAATAAATAGCTAGCAACTCCCTGTCAAATGCACTGTACTTAACCTCGGATGGAGAAAGTTTCTTAGAAAAGAAAGCTAGTGGCTCTGATTTGTTATCAAACGTTTGATGTATGACACCACCAATTGCCGTATTAGATGCATCCACATTTAAAGAGAGTTTGGCATC